TATATATATATATATATATATATATATATATATATATATATATATATATATATATATATATATATATATATATATATATATATATTTATTTAGTGTATATTAAACATAATTAAAACGCTCTTTTCATATTTATGGGCAAAAATATGTAGAAAATTATATTATTCGCAAGATTAAATAAGTTTTTCCATGCATAATCACAATTTTCATTGTTGTGCGGTCTAAACTGACCAGCCTTGGAGGCTGTTTGCGGCAAATATAAATATGTTTCTTGTTAGAAATATATTCGTAAATATAGGTAATTAAAGAGATAAGGAAAAACAACAATTTTAACACGGTTGACACTAACTGGTGATAAAATTATCATAAGACTTTAATATGAATTTTGCAACGGTTGACGGTTGACAGCATTGATAAAAAAAAATTATATTAAATATTATTTTTTATTACTTTCAAACTGTCAACCGTTGTTCATCCTAAAATATAAACAGGAAATTCAACATAATCTTGGTGTAAAATGCTGTACCTATTAAGACATTTCGTAAATTTGCCAAAACAAACATACTAATCTTGGCAAAAACTAATGAAACGTCCTGTTTGATTAACAATTTAATTTATCCTTTCCCCATTCTAAATAATTACTAATTTCTAAAATACATATATCACCTAGTCGAACTGACTTGTGGCTTAGTTGATAGGGCATTGGACTCTTTTAGCTTAGTTGATAGGGCATTGGACTAGCAAAGCAAAGGTCGCGGGTTTGATTCCCACAGCGGTGTAGCAACGTTTTAGGGTACCTACGGTGCGGAACCAGCAAAAAAAGAAATAAATTTATTCAATTTCATTGCTATCAATTCCTACAGCCGCGTGCGAGAGAAGTGTTCCAGGTCCTTCGATTTTCTTCTATTTTATCACATGTCCAGGTTTTATTGGAGCAAGTGTAAAATAGGGCAACTGGTTAGAGTCACTAAATGTATATATGAAGTAAATTTGGTGATATTTAAGACAGAAGATAATACTGTTTGACTTACTTGCTTTGTGGAATTATACAGTTGCGACATGGGCCAGCGATAAACAGTAGCAGCAACAACAATAACAACAGCAAAGCAAATCATGAGTAAAACGAATTTAGAGTCAGCATGTTTCATTAGCCCTAAAGGAAAAATATGCAGG